TTAAGTTGGCGTCTTGAAATCTTGCTTCTTGGTCAGTCCTCCATCTTTGAGTTATGTTCAAAATTTGATTGAAAATGAGTATTTCTGGTAGGGTTTGTTCTTGTCTTGCACGCTTGTGTCAAAGATTGTCAAGAAACTGAGAAGGAACAATCATTTTAGCTCATCCTGCTTCATTTGCATGGATTCTTTCTAGAGTTTGAATTGTTGGATTCGAACCCTAGTTCGTTTTTTGGTATTACCAAAATTTGTGTAAAAACTTGTTTGAGAAATGCGATTTTTTTAAGTATGCTGGCCTTGTTTGGATGATGACGTAGATAATCTTGACTGTTGGCTTGAGATACTGGAAGGTTCTATTATTGCTACCTCTTCAGTTTTGGCTGGATGATTTTCATATGGTTGCTTTTGTCTCTCAAATCTCTAATTTGAGACTTGTAATCTTGGCGGTTTAGCCTCTGGTTAGTGATATTCTGAGTAAATATCTGTGAGAACTAAGGTTTTGCTTGAGTCATAATTTTCAGAAAGGTTATATTCGAGAAGAATAGTATTTATTAAGAATACCACCACAAATCATAAAAATTTCGCCCAAAATCACTGCTAGCAATGCCATTATTGGGAAGATGAACTTATCTGCCAGTCGATTTCTTGTTTCAGCTTAATTTTCCATAATCAAGAAACATATTCATTTCGAGTCTTGCTACGAATTACAAATTGATGCCACAACACGAACATTCATGCTTTGCCAATTTCGTGATAAGTGGTGGCAGTATTCTGGATGTGTCTCCAACTGTAGAATATCCATATAGTGAAAATTATGGCAAGAGGAATTTGAACTGATGAGATGATCCAGTATCCCACTACACAAGCCTTTATAAGAATAATGCCCAGCACAGTTTGAAGTGTAAAGTATACTGCGCATGCAGAATAATAAACCAACCGACTTTTTCCATCCATCTTCTTTAAGCTTGTTAATCGAGTACCAATTTTAATCCAAAATATAATATGACTATAATTTCAATTTAAATATACTCTGAATAAAGAATGAAAATTATCTATCATATCAAAATCAGGTGGTAAGTTGAGGTAATGTATGAGTATGTGAATTTTATCAAGTTATGTGATATAACTTTGAGTATGATTTCAACTTAAGTTACTAAAGAAAATAAAAATAAGAAAGATGGCCATACTTGAACATAACGGTTTCTAAGGAGAAATTGAAAAAAGACAGAATTTGTTTTATAGCTAATGTTTCTTATTTTCTATGATGGCAACGTGAACACTTAGGCAATGCAAAGAAGAGTATTTCAGCAAATTACATAATATAGCTGTAAATCACAAAATGTTATGAATCCATGAAATCTGCATATATTTCGTAAAATCTGTTTCCATAATTCCATAAGACTTGTTCCCATAAAATCTATTTTGTTAACATATTATCCCTTAAAAATCTGCTTTGTTAACATATTATTCCATAAAATTTGCTTTGGAAAAGCCGATGGTTCTTCATGCTCTGCTTTGCAAAAGTCGATGGTTCTTCATGCTGAATCATCCATTTGGTTAGAATTTGTTGCTATTAGAGCTCCAATATCCCTCAATTTCTCCCACCAATTCCAGCCAGATTGTGAGTCTTCAAACATTTTTTTCCTGGAATCCTGCGCTTCCTTATTGCTCCATTAACTCTCACTACTATTGAGTGTGCTGAGCTGTTATGTGAGCTATGATGCTTTAATGTATTGCTAATAGTTTTCCTCAGAGAAGATGTAACACAGAAGGGAAACCAGATCATAACTAACATACTCAGCTTCATTCATGGGACCTACAATTTGGAGTTAGTTTTTTCACTCACCTGAGGATCCCGTGCAGTTCCATAATCGTAACGCCCACTAGTTTCCAATTTGAGGCACCCATTTTTCTTAATCCACAGTGATTACAAATTCTAAATACACTACCTAGGATTTTGGATGTTTTGAAAGTAGAAAATGCTATAAAAAATATCATATGAGCCACTCTGTAATCATGAGGATGCAGATCACTCCAAAACTTAACTCCCACTAACATGCATGGCTCTGTTAATAGTGTTATGCTATAACCAATCAGGAACTCACCATCGATATGTGGCCGGTGTTGCGGAAATCTTTTGAGAAATTTTGATTCTGAGCTTAGAAAACTACCAAACGAACACTATGTGACCTCGACTTGACCTAAAACTCTACCTTCACATTTTGTTGCTCCAAGTTCTCTCAAACCCCTCAAAGAGGAATGGATGGTGGTGGTACTTGCAAGAGTAGTAAAAAGAATAAGCAACAATGGTAGAGAACTCTTTCTCCATTTCTTCCCCAAGTCGGTTGCCCTCATTTTCTCTCATTCTCTCGTTTTCTCTCTTGCATTACACACACACCACCAAGAACTGCTATAGTGATAGAGGATATATAGATTGGATATTAGGTTACTTAATTGGGCTAACAATAAGGAAAATGGGCTACTTAAAAGACCAAGGCAAACTTAATAACAGTCGGGCAAAGACTCACATATCCATCAACAACAAATCCAACTCCAACTTTAGCCTTCTAAAAGTGTCGGTCGTATTCAAGTCGAGCCAAGTCTATGGCGTCGATAAATTATTCATCAACTGTTTTAAATGATTGCCCGAATTTATAGGATATCAAACTCACGAATCTCCACCTTGATACTCAATCAATCCGCAAGCAAGTTGATACTTGCATAATCAAGGTAACCAATAAATTGGGATCACAGACATTACCTTGTGTTTTCAACATGAAAATAAGGATCCGAACTCGAACTGAGCGCTTCTTCTTAAGTTAAATACCCGAATTGGTATCTAAATCGAGAATCGACAGTTTGGTTCAGTTCTCAGTTCTAAATCAAGAACTGAAAAGTCGAATAAGAATCGAATATCCCTAAAATTTTTAATTAATTTATTTTAAATAAGCCAAATTATTTTATTTTTCTAAATAAATTTGCTAACTAGTTAATTTAGCAAAAATCCAAAAATATGATTTTCTTATTTCTAATTTTTAGTTCAAAGCCAATTTAATCAAATTGATATAAGTTTTATCCAAATCTGTTACTTTACCATAGTGTCATTTCTACCGTTTTAAAGAAATTGAATTGAAGTTCGACAATGCCTCTCTTAATTATTGTGAGCTTGCTATATTCGACTTTCTGTGATTTTAACAATCAAATCTATAAAGAATTCACTAAAAAAAGACGCAAAAGGCATATAAGATTGGACTACATTATTTTGTAAGAGTTAAAATTGAACATACATTAGTTGAATTAATATGGTTTTGTAAATATTAAAAATTTAATTATAATACGAAGCCTACGAACCGAATGGAACCGAACTTGAACGGTTCCGTAATTAAAATTGGACCTGACGGTTACACTTACTAAATACTCGAAAATTTCGGGTCCGGTTTGATTATCTTTAGAACTGAATTGAACTGGAGTATGTTCAGCCCACATGAAACACATACCATACCTACTTCATATACTCACTAGAGCTAAGGTCAAGAACACCCAAATAGAAGCAAATATTCACAATAATTAGTGAAGAACAAGTAAACATGCGATGACAATATAATATGGATAACTCACACAAATCTTTTCAAAGAATCATGTTCACATTGAACAACAGATTAACACCAAGTTAATCAAACACATGCAATAAATGCATAAATGACCCCGCAAAAAGATCTCACCACACTTATCATATTTCGTTCCGTGTTACTCACATTTCGAAAACACGTATCTTCTCTCATCGCCCACCATACTCACTAGACTAATCACTCAACCATGTCTAAGTAGTAAATCTCTATCACCACATCACTTCTCCCAACCTACATGGATAATGGGTCTTCATTTAACAGAAGTGATAGAAGTGTCTTTCTCACACTTCACTTGTACAAAGTTTTTTCACAGATAAATGATTCCCAAAATTTAATCACCTCTCTGCTCATGATCCAAATGTTACACTCCATATCCTCGATAAAAAAATAATGTACCCTTAGACATCTATACTCTACCTTATCAAAAGACTACACACTAGTGATGGCAACGGGGCGGGGTCGGGGCTGTTTTTTTCCTCGTTTACTGACCCATTTAATTTTTTTAACACATTTTCAAAATTTCGAGTTATACTATTAAATTATAAAATACAAATTCAAAATTTAAAAATTCAAAAAAAAATAATGCTCAAATTAACATCAATATTCAAAGAAACACTCGAAAAAACAATATCCAAAAAAAAAATTTAATATTCACAGGGCGAGTTCGGGGTAACGCGCTCCCCGTGACTAGTGACGGGGCGGGGAATTATGCTCCATCCCGCCCCCATCAACCCGTTGGGGCAGGTTTTTTTGCCTCATTCGAGCCGGGGCAGGGTAAATTACCATCTCTAATACTCACTGTTAGTGCATCAACCACACAGGTTAGGGCTCTATTTAAAATTGACCTAGGCACCACAAGGCTACTCCAATCACCAACGCTCAAAAAATACACCAAGGAAAGGGTGAAGATGGAAATCATAAATAAAATAGAAGAAAGAGGTGTTTACTTTAGTACACTCA